CCCCCCCCTCTCCTCCTTTTCTCAATCACGTACCCATACAAAGAGGCGTGTATGTGTGTGTTCGCACTCAAGCACTACGCCGCGCACATCGTCGTCCCGAGTCCCCGCGCAGCGATCACGCTCGGGGCAGGCGCCCGTCGGGTAGGCAAGCCAGCGCGGACGCCGCGCAGCGCTGCACGTGAGTTGCCTACCTGTCAGGCGCTCCGCCGGGCGCCGGGCGGGCTGGGCGCGCCGAGCAGGCGGCGCAGGAGGCCCCACCCTGGCCACGCCGGGCCCAAAACAAATCAATGCCAAGAAAAAGGTCACTCCCAAGGGGAGCACCTCCCTCACGGCGGTCTCTGCGCCTAGTGCCTACACCCTTGCGCCTAATCACCCCCTCCCTGAAGGCGTAGTGCGGTCGCCGGCACCGCTAGGATGGGATGCCCACCCCTCCCCCACCCGCTATAACAACCCGCAGCGAAGGGCGTGGAGTAAGACAACGTTTATACAACTCAAATCGTATAGAAAATTTTAACAACCATGGTATGGTATGGTGACTTATTCAGGGGATGTTCATTGAAACATAGTTGAAGTAACACTTGGTGTGGCTTTATTTGGTAATATTCACGTAATTCCGAATGCTTTTATTAGGTAGCTCAATGAATGTACACCTACAATGAGTGTAACTAAAATTTTAAGATGATCTGAAATTTCTAACATATTTGTTTTGCTGGCACTGCTCGTGTTTTCAGTTCCTTTGTCGCACAGATCACAAGTCATGCACCGACAAACGCCGACAAATAAGATTCACGGAAAAACTCCTGCTTTCCTGGAAGATTTCTTTGACTCAGAGGTGAGAAGCGGACCCATCTGGACACGATTGCGGCCCGGTTCTGGATCTGGTAAAATCCGGTCCTACCATAGCTAAGCGTAGGCGATCGGCGTCTGCCTGTTCGGGCGCGTAGACAGATCCGGACTGCCGATCCGGATGGGTCCGTTTCTCAGCTCTACTTTGACTCGAAGGAGAGGGCCGTTGCGTTACGCGCGCGGGCCGGGGTGCTCTTTGACAAGTGTGTCACTCCACCGTGTCGTGCAAAGGCGTGACGCGTGGGACAATGCACGTGCGTGCGGGAGGGGCTGTGACGGGCCGTGAGCAGAGGCCGTGTGGGGGTCGGA